AGATAGTTTTGATGATCGTGGTCCTAGTCTCAACCCAGTGCTTGATTATGACCATGGAAGTCGTTCTCAAGAATCTGGTTATTATGACAGAATGGATTATGAAGATGACAGATTAAGAGATGGAGAAAGGTGTAGGGATGATTCTTTTTTTGGTGAGACCTCGCATAACTATCATAAATTTGACAGTGAGTATGAGAGAATGGGATGTGGTTCTGGCCCCTTACAAGAGAGATCTCTCTTTGAGAAAAAGAGGGGCGCTCCTCCAAGTAGCAAAATTGAAGACTTCCATGGACTCTTACCGAAGGGTTATCCCCATCTGTGCTCTATATGTGACTTGCCAGTTCATTCTAATAAGGAGTGGAGTCAACATATCAATGGAGCAAGTCACAGTCGTCGATGCCAGCTTCTTCTTGAAATCTATCCAGAATGGAATCCTGACAATGATACAGGACACACAATGGGTGATCCGTTCATGTTGCAACAGTCTACAAACCCAGCACCAGGAATTCTGGGGCCTCCGCCTCCCTCATTTCATCTTGGGGGACCAGCAGTTGGACCAAGAGGAAATCTGGGTGCTGGAAATGGCAACCTGCAAGGACCAAGACACATGCAGAAAGGCAGAGTGGAAACTAGTAGAGTTGTTCACATCATGGATTTTCAACGGGGGAAAAACTTGAGATACCAATTACTGCAGCTGGTAGAACCATTTGCAGTCATTTCCAATCATCTGATTCTAAATAAAATTAATGAGGCATTTATTGAAATGGCAACCACAGAAGATGCTCAAGCTACAATTGATTATTACACAACCACTCCAGCATTAGTGTTTGGCAAGCCAGTGAGAGTTCATTTATCCCAGAAGTATAAAAGGATAAAGAAACCTGAAGGGAAGCCAGATCAGAAGTTTGATCAAAAGCAAGAACTTGGATGTGTGATACATCTCAGCAACTTGCCTCATTCTGGATATTCTGACAGTGCAGTCCTCAAGCTTGCTGAGCCTTATGAGAAAATAAAAAACTATATATTGATGAGGATGAAAAGTCAGGCTTTTATCGAGATGGAAACCAGAGAAGATGCAATGGAAATGGTTGACCATTGTTTGAAAAAAGCCCTTTGGTTTCAGGGAAGATGTGTGAAGGTTGACCTGTCTGAAAAGTATAAAAAACTGGTACTGAGGATTCCCAACAGAGGCATTGACTTACTCAAAAAAGATAAGTCCTGGAAAAGATCGTATTCTCCAGATGGCAAAGAATCTCCTAGTGACAAAAAATCTAAAACTGATGGTTCTCAGAAGACTGAAGGTGCAACTGAAGGTAAAGAACAAGAAGAGAAGTCTGGTGAAGATGGTGAGAAAGACCCAAAGGATGACCAGACTGAACAAGAACCCAATATGCTTCTGGAATCTGAAGATGAGCTACTTGTAGATGAAGAAGAAGCTGCAGCACTACTAGAAAGTGGCAGTTCTGTGGGAGATGAAACTGATCTTGCTAATTTAGGTGACATGGCTGCTGATGGGAAAAAGGAGCCCTCAGACAAAGCTATGAAAAAAGATACAAGTACTTCAGCAGCAAAGAAAAAGCTTAAAAAGTTGGACAAGATCGAGGAACTTGATCAAGAAAATGAAGCGGCGTTGGAAAATGGAATTAAAAATGAAGAAAACACAGAACCAGGTGCTGAATCTGCTGAGAATGCTGATGATCCCAACAAAGACGCAAGTGAAAATGCTGATGGCCAAAATGATGAAAACAAGGAGGACTATGCGATTCCAGATGAGTATAGAATTGGACCATATCAGCCCAATGTTCCTGTTGGTATAGACTATGTGATACCTAAAACAGGGTTTTACTGTAAGCTGTGTTCACTCTTTTATACAAATGAAGAAGTTGCAAAGAATACTCATTGCAGCAGCCTCCCTCATTATCAGAAATTAAAGGTAAGGCTGAATCTAAAAGATGAGAATGTTTTTGTGAAAATTAACTGATTAAGTTACAGAAATAAATAAGATATAAAAATAAAGTGTGTGTAGTAACATTTGTTGACCCAGCCCAGTGCATTTATTTATTTACTTATTTATTTAAATTTGACCCGAGAGGGACAGTGCAAGTGAGAGATGGCAAGTGAACAAGCAAGCTGCCATGTCCAGAACTCGAACCTCAGTCGGCCATGTGGGAGTCCAGTGCCCCTTACTACCGTACCACCTGCCAACACCAATAATGTTTCTTTACCGATGAGCTCTCAGCAGTTTAACTGGTCTTATAAATGTCTATTGAGCCTCTTCTCACAGTTCACCCTAATAAAATAATATTAATCATGAATTAATTCTGTGATCTAGTTAGCTCTCTAGGTATCTTCAAATTGTGTTAGACTGCAATTTCACTAATTTGGAAGATGCTATAGGCCTGTGTACCAGATAGAATAAAACCTTTTCAGCTTTCTCAAGTGCCTATTTATATCCCATGATTTTTACATTGGTATTATTTGTTTTTATTTTTTGTTTGTTGGTTGGTTGGGTTTTTTTGTTTTTGTTTTTTAAATAATTTTTTTTTAGAGGTTTTTGCTATAAGGCACGTGCGCCCACCAGACAGGCAGAGAGAGAGACATAGAGACAGAAAGTGAGAAATCACCCCCCAGGGGGAATGGCCACACCGCAATCCCTTCACCTCCATTCTACTCTCAGGATCTTGGGCACGCACGCACACACGCCCGGCGTGAGTTTTAAGCCACTGGGTCCAGGATGCGAACCGTGGTCAACTACATGAGAGTCCAGCGACATAGCCATTATGCTAACTGCTGGTTCCCCAAAATGGATATTTCAACAGGTGAACATTTTTATTTCAATTTATCGACTTTTTGATTTCTCTCACCAGAATTTTGTAATTTTCCTCACTTACTGGATTGTCAGAAAAGCCATGGCACATTTTTGCATAGAAAAACAGAAAAAAAAGTCATAACTTTTCCAACAACCCAATAGATCTTGTTAGATCTTGTACATATTTTTGTTAGGCTTATGCTTAAGTGTTTCACTGGTGGAGAAGACGGGTGTGCTGAAGTATAATAAATAACACTGTGTTTTTAATTTCAAATTCCACTTACTTATGCTGATATATAGGAAATCGATTAACTTTTAAATAATGACCTAATATCCTGCTATAATCACTTACTATCTCTGAGAGTTTTATTTTGTTTTGGTTTGGTTTCTGCCAAAGGGCATGTACTCTCACCAGAGAGCAACACAGGAAAGTGAGAAGGAATGCCCGAGGGGATGGCCACACTGTAATCCCCTCTCCTCCATTCTCTTGGGATTCTGGACATGGACAAACATGCGCCCAGAGTGATTTTTAAGCTACTGGGTCTGGGACATGAACCATGGTCAGTTATGTGGGAGACTAGCCCTTAACCACCATGCCACCTGCTGGCCTCAAGTTCTGGGAGTATTTTTGTTAATCCTTTTAGATTTTCTACTTAGATATATCACCTGTAAAAAATGATATATTTCTTCCTTTTCAAAAACTATGCTTATTTCCTTTTCTTATCACATTAGAGCTAGAACTTCTAGGACAATGTTAAAAAGTAGTGGTCAGAGCAAACTAGAAATTTTTTATTGAGCTTAAAATTCATATAACATAAACTTAACAATTTTATTTTTTACTTTATTTCTTCTTTTTAGTTTGCTGTATGGCAGTGTGCTCACCAGGGAGAGACAGAAAGAAAGGGAAAGTGAGAAAACATCCCCCAGGTGGATGGTTACACCACAATCCCTTCTCTTCCGCTCCCCTTGTGATTTTGGGTTTGCATGCATATGTGCCTGGCATGTTTCTGAAGCTGCTGGGTCTAGAACTCAAATAGTGCTGTTAGTCATGTGGGATCCAGCTTAACCACCATGCTACCAGCTGGCCCTATATAATTAGCTTTAATTGCTAACAGAGTACATGTACATGCATGAAAGAAAGACAGAAGAAGGGAAGGGAGGGATAGAAATAGGGAGAGAGGGAGGAAGGGGAGGGAGGAAGAAAGGGAGGAGCAACTTCCACAAGGTTTGGTCACACTGTGATTCCTTTCCTCCAGTCCTCCAGATCCTGGGCACTTACACATGCCTGGCATGTTTCAGGCTGACCGCACTACAAATCTGAACTGCAGTGCCACATGAGATCCCACTTCTCTTGAGCAGTATATTACCACTGTGCCATGTAGCCAGTCACAGACTTAACTATTTTAAAGTGATCAATTCAGTGGCCATAACTATGCAACCACTACCACTACCTAGTTCCAAAATATTTTCATTACCCCAAAAGAAAACCTTGTACCAACCCATTGAGCAGTCACTTGCCACTCTCCTGCCCCACTAAACTCTGGCAACTACCAATCTATTTTCTATCTTTGTAGACTTATTTTTTCCTGAATATTTCATATAACAGAATCATAACCTTTTGTATCTGATTTATAGCACTTAGTGTAATACTTTTGAGATTCATTCCCATTGTAGCATGTATCATATTTCATTTCTTTTCAAGCTGAATAGTATTCCACTGTGTATGTATATACCACCATCTGTTAATTTATTTAACTGCTGATGACACTTGAGTTGTTTCATCTGTTTTCTTTTTTTTTTTTTTTTTTTTTTTTTTTTTTAGGAACCACCTAGCTGTTTCCCACAGGAGTGGAACCATTTTACTTTACCAGTAGCAATGTATATAAGGATTCTAATTTCCCCATGTTCTTGCCAATATCTGTTATTTTCCTTTTTTAATTATAGCTATCCCACTAGGAATGAGGTGGTACTTCATTGTGGTTTTGATTTGCATTGCCCTAATGCTGAGAATCTTTTCATTGGAAGTTAGTTAACTGTATATTTTCCTTGGAGAAATATCTATTGAAGTACTTTATCTACTTTTAAATTGTGTTTTTTATTATTGTTGATTGTGTTATTTACATCCTTTGAATAATTTGACCCAATATGGGGCAAATGTTTTCTCCCATTCTGTAGATTGCCTTTTCACTTTTTTGATAATGTCCTCTGATGTTTAAAAATGTTTCACCTGGAACCAGCATATGGTGAAATGGTTATGTTGCTGGACTTCCACATAGTCGACAGCAGTTCAAGTCCCAGACTCCAGAGCCTTAAACTCATGCCAGGTGTGTGTGCATGCATGCCCAAAATCCTGACAGGAGAATGGAGGAGAAGGGATTGTGGCATGGCCATCCCCCCTGGGGGGAGTGATTTCTCACTTTCTGTCTCTCTGTCTCTCCAGTGAATGCACGCAAAAATCTCTCTATAAAATAAATTTTAAAATAAAAATGTTTCACTTTTATGAAGTTCAATTTGTCTTTTTTCTTTTCTTGTTTCTGCTTTTGTTGTCTAAGAATCCATTGCTAAATCCAAAATCATGAAGACTTACCCCTATGTTATTTAAGCTTTAGCTCTAATATTTTAGGTCTTTAAGGTTTTTTTTTTATTTTTTCATATTGTATATGGGGTGAGGTAGGAATTCAACTTTGTTCTCTTTTGTGTGTGACTGTCCAGCTGTCCCAGCACTATCTGTTGAAGAGCCTATTCTTTCCCCATTGAATGGTTTTGGCATCGTTGTTAAAAATTGATTGGCCATATATATAAATATTATAGCTTTACTTGTGCACTCCCAATTCAATTCCATTTTTACTATGGCTTTGTAATAAGTCTTTAAATTGGGAAGTATAAGTCTTGTAACTTTAATCTTCTTTCAATATTGTTTTGGCTATTTGGAGCATCCTCTGTTACATACACAATTTTAACATAAGAGACAACGGCAAAACATTAACATGTTTTCATGGTTTAGTGTTATAATACATTAATGCTACAAAACTTTCATAAATAAATTAATACTGATAGCAATTATTTTTAAAAATAATACAGAGTCTCTATAAACTTTGACATGTTCTTAATGAAAAGTGAAAAGCAGGGCAGAATACTGTGTAGATTTTGCTGCCGCCAAAAATCTTTAAAAGAATACACTGGCATATGAATTGCATAACCATGGAAAAAACACACGACAGTACTAAAAGAACTTGGTTCCTGAGAAACTAGGTTTTTGGGAGACAGCTATTTCCTTTCTTTGATACTGTTTTGTTCTTTTTGAATTTTTGTAAATTGGATATTGATTTAAAATGTTTAATTAAAAAAATCAAATTTTATTGGGACACGGAACATAATTTTGCATCTTCTTGTGAGGTAAGAAAAACTCAGGAGAATGATGATGATGCATTGGCAGGAAGTGGTTTCATCCCCTTCTTGGGTCTCTGTGTGAGCTCTGGCACCTATTTGTGGAACAGCAGCCAGGGCTAAAGATGAAGCCAATGTGGCAGTAAAACAGAGCTTTCTTGATGTCATGCTAATTGGCCCCCTGGGGACCACTTTACCAAAATGAGTTCAACCCAGGCAACATATGGTCACCTATCACAATTCTGAAGGGTGATATGTATTTTATTTTGCTTGCTATTTATATTTTAATTCTTTCAGGGCAGGTAGAACAGGATATAAGCATTGATTGGTTCTAAAATATCAAATGGGGAAAAAAATAAAACAAATTGCTGTTGTAAATTTTTTAGTTGTGTTCAGATTAGGTGCATTTTAAAAATGATAAACCTGAAGAATTTGAACAAACACACAGGAACAAGTAATTCCTGATAAAATACAGGGCAAATTATTTCTTTTAGAAATTTTCTATGTGACAGGTGTCTGTTTAGTCAATCAAAATGTAATTTCCCCATAATTATGCACAAAGCAAAAAGAGCTTAGGAAATATTTAATATGCAGAGGCTATCCTGATGACTGACAACTACTGTAGGAATGCAAATTTAATTCTCCTACAGAATGTAAATTCGAGACTGAGCTCAGTAAAGCTTTCTGACTCACTTATGAAATAACAACTTACTCTGCATTAATGAAAGAGCCTATCATATAGCACAGGAAAATTATTTCAGTTAGCCTCAAATTAGAAATATCACAGAAGGAAAATGGCCTACTGAGTTGAGCATTAAAATATTCATGAAAAGAATATCCTCAAAGAGATTAATAATTACAAATGCCATGCCAATGTATGAATATACAACACTCCAAGGAAAAATGTTCTGCAGTCTAGGAAATGCAAGATTTTCAAGTTAAACAATGAATTTAGGAAATCCAAATGATAGTAGATACAAAGCCAAAACCGTTCTTCTTGCTGATCAGTAATTACTGCTTCCCCTTCCTTCTTCAAGTTTTCCTATTTCAGGAAAAGGCACCACCTTCACAGTCATTCCAGCTTAGCGCTAGAAATCATCCTAGACCTTTGCCTTTGATCTCCAATTTAGTCAACCACCAATACCAAGTTTTGGAATCCTTACTATTTTGTGATGCCATTCCTTCCTATCCATCCCTTTTCCTCCTTCCCTACATCAGGCCCACTTCTCTTGGCATGGTCTCCTTACTGGGCTCCATTTCTTTATTCTTACCTGCATAC